TTTAAGACGATCGTTTGGTTCTGTATCTATATATATATCGGGCTTTGGGATATATGATATATTTAATTAATTCAATGCCAAATTTGATCCCAATCAAAGAAATTTGTTGATCTTAGGACCTTTATTGTCTTTAAATAAGATGGTGTGTATACTTCTCCTTAACAGCTATTGTTGTAAAGTTTGAAATTATTTGTAAATTTAATGAGATGTAAATAATTCATTAAAAAAATATATTATTTTACAAAATTATTAAGGGAGGGCACACACTCATACACCATACCAGGATGATCTCCACCAAAAAGATGAGATTTCTCTCCTCATCATGTCTTTTTTGTTCCCCAGAAATGATGTCACCTGACCAATCCACACCTGTCTCCCTGCCATTCCATTGTTAAAGTGACCAACCACACATTCAAGGTACACTGATCAGTGATATGGAAAGCAGAAATGTAAAAGACGAACCAGGGAATAAATGAAAAAGAAAAAAAAACAAATATATATACTATACACACACAGGAAGGAAAAGAAAAAACAAATATATTAACATAAAACATGGTGTAGTAACACCACAGACTTAACCATCTATCTTTAGTTTAAATTACATATTATCTGTGTAATTAATTAGCCAATTCTAGCCTGATAGTTTATCTGGATCTATCGTTTGATTACTACTTGTAGGCTATAACTTTGGCTTGGTTTTATATATAAGATTTTATATACATAGGTTGTTTTTTTTTTTCAATTTCCANGGTATGGTGTATGAGTGTGTGCCCTCCCTTAATAATTTTGTAAAATAATATATTTTTTTAATGAATTATTTACATCTCATTAAATTTACAAATAATTTCAAACTTTACAACAATAGCTGTTAAGGAGAAGTATACACACCATCTTATTTAAAGACAATAAAGGTCCTAAGATCAACAAATTTCTTTGATTGGGATCAAATTTGGCATTGAATTAATTAAATATATCATATATCCCAAAGCCCGATATATATATAGATACAGAACCAAGCAATTGTCTTAAATAATTGGGCTATATATATAGCCCAATTATTTAAGACAATTGCTTGGTTCTGTATCTATATATATATCGGGCTTTGGGATATATGATATATTTAATTAATTCAATGCCAAATTTGATCCCAATCAAAGAAATTTGTTGATCTTAGGACCTTTATTGTCTTTAAATAAGATGGTGTGTATACTTCTCCTTAACAGCTATTGTTGTAAAGTTTGAAATTATTTGTAAATTTAATGAGATGTAAATAATTCATTAAAAAAATATATTATTTTACAAAATTATTAAGGGAGGGCACACACTCATACACCATACCAGGATGATCTCCACCAAAAAGATGAGATTTCTCTCCTCATCATGTCTTTTTTGTTCCCCAGAAATGATGTCACCTGACCAATCCACACCTGTCTCCCTGCCATTCCATTGTTAAAGTGACCAACCACACATTCAAGGTACACTGATCAGTGATATGGAAAGCAGAAATGTAAAAGACGAACCAGGGAATAAATGAAAAAGAAAAAAAAACAAATATATATACTATACACACACAGGAAGGAAAAGAAAAAACAAATATATTAACATAAAACATGGTGTAGTAACACCACAGACTTAACCATCTATCTTTAGTTTAAATTACATATTATCTGTGTAATTAATTAGCCAATTCTAGCCTGATAGTTTATCTGGATCTATCGTTTGATTACTACTTGTAGGCTATAACTTTGGCTTGGTTTTATATATAAGATTTTATATACATAGGTTGTTTTTTTTTTTCAAATTCCAATGGTCCATAAAAAAAAAATAAGTGTAAATAACAAAATAAATTTATTACCAAAAGTTAGGAACAAACATGGTTACTTTTTGACATACTCACTGTGAAAATTGAGGCATTTGTCATATCTGTGGACGAGCTTTTCCATCCCCTCTTCATAGAATGTTGCTGCCAATGACTTGAGATGGGCCCATAAGGTTGTTTTGAAGATCACCATGCCAGTAGTCTCGAACCTCTGTCCTCATAGCCACTTTTTCTGTTCAGGAAAGAGGTGGAAGTTGCTCAGCACTAAATTGGGGCTATATGCTGGGTGTTTAAAGGTAGTGAAGACTTCCACCCAGCTTGAAACTTTTTAATGTGTTAAGACTTCCATCTCTTTCCTGAACTGAAAATGTGGCTAGCAGGCAGAGGTTTGAGACTAATGATGATCTTCAAAACAACGTTGTTAAGGCCATCTCAATTCACTAGCGGCAACATTCTATGACAAGGGGATGGAAAAGCTACTCCACAGATGTGACAAATGCCTCAATCTTCACGGTGAATATGTCGAAAAGTAATCATGTTTGTATCTAACTTTTAGTAATAAATTCATTTTGTTATTTACACTTGTTTTTTTTTTATGGACCATTGAAGCTTGAAAAAAATCTGCCCTTTATATCACATCAATGAAAAATTTATTGTCCATTAAATGATTTAAAATTATATTCTGATTTTCTAAAAATTTATCTCATTATTATTTTAAAATCATAATCTATATAAATATTACATTTTATATTTAGTAATAATTAATATAAATTTTTATTTTCCATTATGATTTAGGTTTTGAATGCTTATCTAACTTACATGACAAAAGTTGGAGTGTTATTAGGTGGTGAAGAAAATGCAACACGAAGACAAATGAAAGAAGTTATTAAATTTGAAACCAAGTTAGCCATGGTAAAAAAATAAGCAGTTATAATTTATTTTTTAGCAAAGTCCATTATTTATTTAGTTAAAAAATATATTTGCCAGAATTGTAAGAAAAAAAGCTGGTGAGGACCCTTGAACAGGAGATTAAAGGAATCTTTAGAAAGTTCAATAATTTTCAATTATACTACAATACAAAATTTAAATAATAACAAAAGCTTAGAAGAATAGTTTTATTGAATTATGAGAAATTTTTCTGTTTAAAATAGTATTTCTTTAAAACCACTAAAATACTTTAGCATTAAATTAAAATTGTGTGTGGCACCATATTTTATTATAATATTTTATTAAAAAATAATTTTTATAAAAAGGCAAATGGTTTAATTTTGAAAAGAAAAATTCATCTTTTCAAAATTATTAACCAGTAGTTTTATGGAGATTGTAGTCATTTTGATTTCATTTCAGAATATAGATTTAAGTGAAATCAGTATGACTGCAAAAATAAATTTATTTTTTAAACTTATTTATTAACATCAATAGATATTATTTTTTAGAAATTATAAATTAGATTTGTTTTTATATTATATCTTTTTAAAATGACTAATAATTTTAAATAGATAACTATTCCGGCAGAAGAGCGAAGAGATGATGAGCTGCTTTACAATAAGATGACAATTTCTCAGCTACAAGTATTAGCTCCTGTTATTAATTGGCTACAATATTTCAATTTTGCTTTTGCTTCTGTTGATCGAAAACTTAGCGCAGAGGAAGAAGTTATAGTATATGCTCCACAATACCTTGGAAATATGTCTTCTCTTGTTACGGATTATTTATCATCAGTTCAAGGGAAAATGTAAGTGTATAATTGATAATGGAAAAAATTTAGTACTAGAAAGTTTACGAATACACAATAATATTATTAAAATTAAGAATAGCGATGAGTTAATTTGAATGAAAGTAACCAAATCACTCAATTATTTAAATAATTTGAAATATTTTGAATTCTTTTGAGAATTAGTTTGTAACAGTTTTTATTTGCAGGACACAATAATGTTTAGTGCACGAATAAATAAAATATGATTATGTGGAATAGGATTCTGTTTAGAAATAACAGTTAAGACAACAATTGTAAATTTAACATAATCTATCATTCATTTACAGACAATATGCAAAAACCTTTCTATGTATACATTAATTGTTCTACTCCTTTTTCATCTAACATTGCATAGCCTAGGAGATAGAATGACGCATGGAACTTTTCACTCAGAAAAACTGGTTCTTATTAGAAGTCAGTCTAGTAATGCTCTATAGTGAGGGGGAAAAAATCTCAACCAGAATTAGGGGAACATTCAGTGTAAATACATAAAATAAGGCATAAGCATACAATTTGAATGATTCACCTGCTCATTTCTAATACATTTTAACCTTAACCCTTAACTGGTTTTATGGGGCCGCGCGGCCCCCACGCATCATATTTTTACGATTTTCTAAAAATCTAAATATCGTGCGCAGCTGCCATTTTATGTAATCTCATTATGTCGCGACTCTTAGCGAGTGCCAAATGTTCGGCCCTGTAGCACTTACAAGGATGGAGCTATGTACCTTCTGGGGGCTGCGCAGCCCCCACGATACCAGTTACGTTGGTTTTTTGTGGAAATGTGTTTTTATGTTTTTTTTATTTTTACAATTATTTTGTAAAGATATCTCAATCTTGCATCAAAAATTCAAAATGACTACCAAAGAATCATTTGAACTGCTAATAGATGATAATATTATACAAATTGCTAGATCAAGCCGAAATCTCCTGAAAAGAGTATGTTGTCATTTTGTGCTGGAAAAAAAGATGGTAAATATGCTACTAAGTGCAACAGTTGTTTGAAATTTATTTGCAAAGTGCATAGTACTACAAAAATACTATGTGATAACTCTCAAGACTGAACTACGTAATTGCGTTAAAATGTTCCTGAGTCTTAAAAATAGAAGTGATTATATTACCTGTGGTTTTTTAACAAATGATAGTTAGAGGCTATAAGAGATACTTTTTTATAAGATTAGTTTCTTAAGAATAAGAAAAAAAAATATCTTTGGTAAAAACTTACAATAGGGTAGATTTTTGTATTGTTAAAAAAAGCATACACCAAAAGTTGTAACAATTTTGTGATCTCTTGTAATAATTAAGTAAAGAAAATTATATAAATAAATAAAAGTTGATTATACTAAAGAAGGGTTCCATTTAGCATTTATGTGCTTTTGAACTGTCACATTGTTGAACTTGCTCTCTAAAGGTAAATTTTGCTTGGGGGCTGCGCAGCCCCCATGATACCAGTTATGATTGTAAAATTTACGAAACCAGTTAAGGGTTAAAATAAAAAAATAATAATAATAAATAAATTGCTCATAAAGTTACAAAAATTTCTTAGCCTGTAATAAAAATTTCATATCAAAATTTTATACAATTTATACAACAAATATAAAATACCAAAAAATTTCAGCATTGAAAAAACCAATATTTTTCAGCTACTTTTAATAATCATCCTCTGGTTAGAATAAAAAAACAGGAACTCAAATGTAAATTTCAAACATATTGAACAAGCATTTGATTATTTGAAATTTCTTTTCTTCTAACCTGAGGATGACTACTGAAAGTAATTGAAAATGTTAGTTTTTTTAATAAATGTTGATGGATTTTTTAGTATTTTGTGTTTGTTGTATCTCTAAGCATCCACTTTATGTGCATTTATTTAACCAAAAATTTATTCCCATCTATATGGTGATTTTGCTCAGGTTGAGAAACACTGCATTACATGATTGCAGTTTCAGAAACTTGTCATATATTGTTAACCAACAGCTAATTAAATGAATTATTTAGATCAGCTGTTGGCAACTGGTGGTCCGTGGATCATTGATGGTCTGTGAGAAAATGTGGGTGGTCTGTGGTGAAATTTGGACATTGATCAACTGAAGATAATGCGAAGTATTATGAAAGAAATGCAAAATGCTTAGTTGCTTTTTTCACTCATTGGGGATTTTTATTTGAATCTAAAAGCAAATACGAAGTGACAATAAATAATGAACAATAAACAATGTTGTGAGTGTGATTGCCATCCTTCATGGAAAAGTGCTAATAATCCATAAACTTATTTCAAACAAGTAATGCAAGCGTAAAGTAATGAACTTTAGGCTTGCATTAATTTGTTATAATTAAACAAGCAAGTTTCATATTAATATAGTAAAATTGAACTTTTATGATCATTATTCTACAGGTTTTGTATTGTTTAAAAAAATTCATGATAGTTGTCCACGGAATTCAAAATTACAAGTTTAGTGGTCCATGAGGTGAGAAAGGTTGCAGACTGCTGATTTAGATTAAGTGTCTTGATTTGTTTCCATGGTGAATAGTTGATAACAATTTAACTTTTCAATCATATTTACTTAAAATAACTTACCAGTATTTAAGATAATTATTAAATAGATAATTTTAAAATAATTGACCATTTAATAGTTTTATAAATTAAAGTGATACATTTAACTACTTTCAAAAATGATTTATTAATTTAAATATTACATTATTAATAATGGAATTTTAAAAATATTCTAAGAACTTCTGTGTTCTTATTGTGAAAATCAGGAATTAAGAGAGATATTTTAACATATTTGTTGAAATAATATTTTATAATTATTTTTGATAGAAAAATTATCTATCAGAGTTGAAGAAAGTATTTCCTTTGACTCACAGAGAAAAACAGTTTAGTTCCTCTGAAAGCGATAGTTCGAGTGCAATGTCTCACTCCTCTATCCGCAAGATTGCCTGACTTCCATCATACATCAGAAGTATGATGGAAGTCGGGCAATCTTGCGGATAGATGGATGGTATGATCTTTCGATGAGTATATTGGATGAGATTTAGCATAAAAAGTGAGAAATCACCATCCAACTTGCTCTCATTTTGATACTCTCATTCAGTGATCGAGGCTTGAGCCACTGTTCAGTTTTGGTGCCCTTGCTGAATGCCCAATGTTTTAGTCATTCCTCTCCCAGTTCTCCAACATCTGTGTTTTCAAGGATTCACAACTCTCTACTACAGATGTATGTGAACATCAGATAATATGATATTGTTATGTAAATTCTCTCTCCAGTCTAGTGTAAGGGTTAGATTAGAAGTCCTCTCATTTGTATTCATATTGATACTTCTTAGTTTGTTCTTATCTTAATTTAATGTACTTTTTTATGTATAAATGATAATTATAGTTATGTTTTAATAAATAGATAGATATACTCCTAACTTATCATATTTGTCAGTTGATTTTATGCCTAACTTCATCGTCAGCCCACGTAACTCACGTAAACCACGAATCTCGTGTCATTTAACATATCTTGTAAACCGTCCTAAAATTCTGATCAAGTTTAAACATATCTTTAACCACTTGGAAGATAAGATAGATTAATTTGTGAGTAAGGAGGTGAGTAAAATTTATCCTAACTGGTGTCAGGATAGACAAGGAAAGATTTTACAAATCTTTCTTATACTTAAATTTCCATCCTGTATGTGGAAGGGAATCCTGTCATCACATTACATTTGATTTGTAAAATGTAAAGACATTTTAGCATTAAACATCCAAGAAATTGCAAGAATTTATGTTAACAATGCAAGTGAAAATTTACATAATAATCATTATTATTAGTGATGTAACGAATATTCGGTTACTATTCGGTATTCGGCCTATTCGGCTGAATACCGAATACCTAAAAAAGAGGAGTAATAAATAACAAAAACACAGTAAATTAATAGTTTTGGTATTTAGATTTAATGTTATCGAGTTAGTGTTGTTTGTTTATATTTATTTATAACTTGTAACATGCACAAAATAAAAAAAGAAAATAATATTAGTCACATGTATTCACAATTTATAATTACAAAGATCAGCACACACACACGTCTATCGTTGGAGAATCCTCGCACATCTGAGGGTCTGATCCTGCCTATCCTTCTTTTTAAGCGCTCGTCTTTGCTCTTCCCTTTCTCTTTCCTCTATCGCTCTAATCCATGTATGCCTGTGTATACATCATAATACGCGCTCACAATACTTTCGATTCGTCACTTTTCCGTCGTAGAGTTCCCATTTTACAATTACGTGACTCAGCCTGGTGATAACGGAGAAAACAGACGATAGGACGTCGGTATTAATCACAGTTATTATATCACAGATTTGAGACAGCTTGGTAGCTCGAACAGTCACAGGCTTTTGCCCTTGCACGCTAAGTGACTTTCATTACAAGCATTTAGCTTTCCGAAGTCTATGACAACAATTGTTTGGCATTGATGGCCGCAAATTTCGTGCCAATAAGCTGCCTCGACTTGTTCGATTATATTATCGACTCAATTTTAATATTTATTTTCACTTCGCGGTCTTTCTCTGTTCTTTTTCTGTTATTTACATGTGTAGGTCATTTGATATCATCATTTATCACATACTTCCATGATACTGTTGTCTGTCCGCTACAACTGCCAAGAATTAATGCGATTGGTGAAGCGTAGTGACAGCGGGCCAATAGAGAGCAGGATCCTTGCCATAATGTGGCTTGCATGCCAATTTTCGTACGTGCGTTAATCGAGCCGAATAGTTTGGCCGAATAGCACGCTCTTGGCCGAATATTCGGTATTCGGCCTGACGCCGAATATACTATTTGTTACAATACTAATTATTATTATAGTATCATTATTTTTTATTAAGAAAAACATATTAAAACTATAAAGATTATCATTATTAAAGTTTTAAACATTTACTTTAAGCAGTGATTAATTTATTCAGATTAATGGCCAGTTTCATTAACCTTTATTAAAAGTTAACAGAGGAATTAAACTTGCTTAACAGCTGAAAGTGTTTCATCAAATTTTATTAATGCTTATGAAGCATTAAACTTGTCATTAATTTAAAGATATGATTTTGGAGCATTAAGTTTCTAATGGCTCATTAAATTAAAATCAAGACAGTGGATTATAAAAAGTTTAATACAGATCTGTTGTGTTGAGTATGTTGAAAATATAGGACTTTAAAAAACTGTTCTAATTACATATTGTTTAGACAAAGAAATTTTGAACTTTTGAATGCTTTACTGTTCTTTTTAATACCTACATTTGAGTTAAAAATCAGATGCAAGATTATCTTTTTGTTTAATTGTAACACCATCTATTTGTGTATTTTTCATCAATTATACTTTTATATTTTTAAATCAAATGAATAAAAAAAATTCTCTAAATTTGTATAATTTGAAGTTCTTTGTTGTTTCAATTTTAGTTTAGCCACATTACATGTGCTACCCAACTAGTCATGAAAGATGTTTTATGTCAAAAAGCTATGATGAACTTTTTAAGGAACAATCATGTCTTCCAATACAACAGCAGAGAGCCATTAAGAAATGGTTCATTAAATTGGGTGAAATGGAATTTTATAATGAAAAATTTGTTTTTTAATGAGTCACTAGAAAACAATGCATCAAGAACTATTTTAATGAAGGTTGATGAAACTGGCTGTAAATGTGTTTAAGATATTATGAGTCTCATTATCAGATCTATAATTCCTATTTTATGGGTCTGATGGTGTCTCCTCTGTTATGCTATATTAGAAAATGGATGAATTGATATCTTTAAATTGTTTATAAGAATTTCTAATTATTAGCTATGAAAGTTGTCTTGTTGAAATTAAAAATTCTTTTAAAATTCATTTTTATCAATTGTATTTTTATAATAAATTCTTAATATTTAAATTATTTTTGTACAAGCTATAGTGATTGTGTTCTTATCTTCATAAAATCAAGATAGGAGTGAATTTTTTTCAACTTAAACTATATGGAATAAAACTGCTATTAAAATAGAATAATTGTAGATGATAACTTTTACTCAAAAGTTGTGTTGTTACACAACTTTTGAGTAAAAGTTATCATCTACAATTATTCTATTTTAATAGCATTTTAGCACAACACAACTTTTGAGTAAAAGTTATCATCTTACTTTCAAGTTACTTTTATTAAACTTACATATCTCTGAAAACTGCACTTATAATAAATCACAATACTACTACTTATAATTTTTCTTTTTGTCCTGAAGAAGGTTATTAAGATGACTGAAAACATTTCAGAATTAAAAATTTTACTGCATTTTAAAGATCTGAGTAGTAATACTGTGGTTTATTAAATTTATTTTGACATTTTATATTATACTTCTGATTTTTCCATGCATTAATTATTTTTAATTTATATATAATATTATGTCACATTCAGATCATTTCTTTGTAGAATAATGATTAGTTTTATTAAATCTATATTTGTCTAATAGATCTTTTCAGTTTTCTATTAATATTTGTTTTGGATTTAAATTTGATATATAATTAAATTACAGAGTCTGCGAACTTATGTAAGAGGTTTAAATAAAATAAAAAAATTATAAATCTAATATACTATATCATTTTTAATACATTTCTTAAATTTGCAAATTTCATAAATTAAGTACAAAAGCAATCATTAGTTAAATGTGTTGTTTAGATAATAATATATGATTGTTTTTTTATAAAAACATTTCTGTTACAATGCTTAGTTTTCTCATACTATTCCATCATATCTGTAATTGACTTCAATTCATAAAATCAATTACAGTCAGTTTGCCATAAATTTCATAAGGAACCCGGAATACCAGCTCAAGTGTATGTGTGTGTGTACAAAATAAATCAAAATAAAAATAAGAAAGTGAATTCTTACTAACTCACTATTCAACTCATGTAGGGTTTCAAAAAACATTGCAAAATCTGCCCAAAAATAGTGAAATTATATGAAAAATTAGCCCAATATTTATAGTAGTATTACAAACTAAAAATGCAAAATGCACTTCAATTGCTAGTTTTTTTCTCACAAATACTAACCTTTACAGCACAATTTCATTTATGCCAAACAATGTGCTGGATTTATCAGGCTATATTAAGACTAGTTTAATAATTAGATATAAAGTAATTTCATTAGAGGTAAGTAATTAGGCCATCATCTCAGAATATTCTAAATTTAAATTAAGAAATTAATTTATTTCTAATTATTAAATTTACCAGATAGTATCTGGCAGTTAACTGCCTATCTCTGTTCAAATTACTTTGCATCTAATCGTTAAACCAGCCTTAATATCCAACAAATTTTTTGGCATTAATTAATAATCAAATTATTGGATTTGTTACACACTTTCTTTTAGTACATTTTCTACTAAACCAGTGATAGTAGTGCAAAAGTTTTGATTCAAGTTTAATCCATTCTTGCTACTCTGCTCATGTGGATGCAATATTATCTGATGGAATTCTTTACAGCCATATAAATCTTAAACAGTCTGATCTAATACCAGAAATATAGTAAGTGTAATTAAAATTCATATTTACATGCCTCTAAATAGAAAAAAGCTTGATATCATTTAAAATTCAAAAAGTAATTAAATGAGATAATTCAGTTGTGAAAACTTTTATTTAACAAAAGTTATAATTTTGGCTATATAGTATAGAACTTCACATATTCCTTTCTTTCCTGAAGGAATGTGTGCAAGATGTATTCCATTTTGCTGTTACACGTTGGTATGACTTGTTTTGAGAAGACTGTATTTTTGTTCTTTCATATCTGTAAATTCTTTGATTTGTAACAATAAACTGTATCTTTTAAAATAGAGAGATAAAGAAATTTATAGCAATTTATGACTTGTATTAAATGCTTCACTTCTCCATTGGTTTCACTTGTTCATTTAAAAATTTTAAATTTATGAGTATAAATTAAATTTATACCATTATACCAAAAAGTAAAATTATTATATGTGAATATACCATATATGTTTAAAAACTCTTACACTATTTTGGCAGGCTCTGTAGTTTTTAATACTGCAATCATTTTATAACTGATCTCATGATCTTTTTAATGGATATATAACAGTGTACTAAGCAATTATTTGGGATGGATGCTTGTTCAGTCATTGACTTCTTGTCTCTCAAAACCTTTTCGTGATGCTTCTAAAGTTCTGCGAAAAGCATTGATTGGCTCAGAAGGTGGTGAGGCATCATGGAGGTATTGCGTTTCTGACACCAATGGGATTATTGGATTTGCTTTGGGAGCAATGTTTGTACGAGAAGTATTCCATGGTGACAGCAAAATTATGGTAAGTCTTTATTGAAATTCCAAACATCTGGAATATGGTGTATAGTGTTATAAAATAAATTATAAAAATAAGTTAATACTTTTTATTATAAAAATAAGAAAAGCTAATGAAAAAATTTGGTTACTTGAAAAAGCAATTTGAATTTCTATTCTTTGCAATATGGTTCCAAGATTTAATCAGTTTGAAGTTAATTGTAAAACTTGAATATAATACAAACATGTTTTTAAAAAATATTTTCATTTAATATTATAAAACTACATTAGCCTTACTGACTTGCTTGATCATTCATTCACTCATTGACATGAAATATTTGAATAGAAGCAACCTTCTTACTTCAAAATGAAATGGTATATTTGAAAGGGAACATTGATACCAGAAAGATTCAAAATCTCAAAAAAATAAAATATTTTAGACCTTATAATGTGTCAAAGTTCGATCCTCTGTAAGTTATAGAATACTATGTTGTTTGTGTGGTCAATTAATATAAACACAATCAGTCTATTCTTAAAAAATTTTTTCATTGATTTTCTTTGCCTTGTTTTAAATTACAGCAAAAAAAATTGCTGTAATTTGAATTTAAACTTTCTTTGCATTCTTTAAACTTTTTAAAATTTTATTTATGCAACCCTAAACAAAAATATCTTAAGACACTTCTTAGTTTTAAACTGTTATATTTAGAACATAATGAAAGAAAAAAAACAATAAATTTGTTTACAAAAATTGTTGTATATTAAACCATGACCTTCATTAACATATTAACATAATAAAAATGCAAATGTTTGCATTAATTAAAAAAAAATAAATACTTGAAGAAAGTATAAGTAATTAGAAAATACTTTGGATGCTGCTGTTTAGTATCTCATTATGTCATCTTTTGCCTGTATTACTATTTGCATGTTCACACATTGTATTAATAAAGGCTTGAGCCTGACACTCATCTTGAGTAATTCCATCTTAGACTTCCTGGATTTTTTTTATGTAAGCCAGTCACTGCCTGTTAAGATCTTTTCTCCATAGATTTTCAATGGAAAAAAAGATATAGACTGCTAGATGGCCAATTCAATGCATTAATGTTGTGATTTGCAAGTCGCGCCCTTGTTATTTTAGGAGTTTGGAAACTTACACCATTCTGCTGGAAAATTATATTTGGGATTTTCAGTTTTTCCAAGTATGAAAGAAAGTTTTCTTTAAGGATTTGCTGATATTTTTCTGAATTTTCTGTTCCATTGGTAAAATGCAGAGTGCCAAACCTTGAGCAGATATGTAATTCTATAATACCATAATGCAGTGACATGTGGTGACAATTTTTAAAAGGGACCAGATGTGAGAAAACTCATTTTTCATACATTATAACAATTATTACTTAATTACTCAGAAAAATATATTTTATTTGCACATTAATTTTACTTTCCTGGCTCTGTTATATATAACAGAGGAAAAGTATGATGAATCAAAAAATGACCCCTATGATTTTTACATTTTTGGATTCAGGAGACCTTGAAACATTGAGAAATGAAAAAAATTTGGGGGTTTTTCTGTATATATGGATATGTTAGTGTGTGTGGTGGGGGGCATGATTTTGTTCACCCTCCTTTATATTTAATAATTGCTGTGCTTTTTGTATGAATTTATGAGCACTAAGTTTTTGGCTTTATGGAGGACTTATTACACACTATTGACATTTTCAGAGTAATCATTCAGAAGTGGATAGACATAGGTTTATTATGACAATGGTATGCATTTTGGACAGACTTATTCATATTGTAACATGAGGACAAAAAGCAAATCACCAATCCCATGCTTTTTGCTGAAAATTTCTGAAGTTTTGCAGGGAGGTTTGTATATTAGGGGGATTGATGCTATTAAATTTTGGTGGTTAAAGTGTAAGTTTTGTTTTCTCAACTTAAAATTGAGTTAACATCAAATCCTTTACACACAATAATTAGGAGGTATTCAAAAAGTACAATGCTTTAGATTCCCATCACAATCAGTCATTTGAAAATTTGCAACAATTACATATTATTCTAATCCTTGAATTTTATCACAAAACAATACTACTGTCAGTAGACATTCAAAAATGCAGGGGAGAGGAGACACTGTAATGGAAGAAGTTCTTCAAATTTTCTTGTTGCATAATTGCTATCTTTTTCTGTTCATCTCGTCAATTGGAGTAGAGTCCATTGAATTTTTTTGTACAATCCCATCATTACTGGTCACCTTCGTGTTCTTCTTGTAATGGTACCAAAAATAAAAGAGAGCTGCTCTCACAATCACAAGTCAATATATACCCACTCCTGCTCTCCTGCTGGGTTTATTGCCCCTCCAGGTAATAACGGGTGATGGAACATTCTAGAAGCGTATAAACAAAGGCTTTGTAACTGATAGTTTAATTTTATATACAGAAATGATGAGTGATTGTCACAAAAGATTGATGGGATGGGGAGATAGAGAGAGGAGGTGTATCATATCTTGAGTAGGTTGAACTTAATTAATGATGATTTTACTTGTTATTAGCATTTACAATTTTAAATTGCACTATAAACTTATTGTTTATAGTATGATTTATTTGTCATCTGGTGTGAGTGTTCTTTTTTCATCTCATGTTGTAATAATGCTGGCTAATTTACAATTTTTTTAATAAAACCATCCCTTCACTCAAAATTCAGCTTCTTGCCATTTTATAATAATTAAAAATATAAAAAATTTTTAAAATAAAGTATCATAACAGACAATGTTACATGCAGTTTTAAATGTTGCTGGAATTTTTTTCTTGAAAACTTAAAGTGCCACACAATGTTTCAAGCAGGCAATCCAGAATATAGCACAGAAATCATTGATTGTCATCACTCTGCTGTAACGATTTACTTAGATTGGTTGCATCATTCACAAATTCAAACTGTATATTTTCACTGCAATGGACCTGCTTCTACTAGTGAGTCCCCTTCCATGTTGAACACAAAGCTTTTTAATCATATATATCATGAATCTATGAGCACTAAATTTTTGACTCTATGGAGAACTTATCACACACTACTTGATGTTGTCAGAGTAATCACGCAGAAGTGGGTAGACACAGGTTTATTCTGACAACAGTATGCATTTTGGATAGTTGTATTTGTTACAATTTGGTAGGTTTATGGGATTCTACAAAAATACAAGCTGGTTTTCTTACAAACATTTGGATTTATGATTAAAATAGTTCAAAATTACGTTTTTTTTAAACATACTTAAAGGGTACATTCTGTTTTGTTGCTAATACATTGCTTGTTCTAAGAGCCTAAAAACTTAGTTCTCATAGATTCATATTGTAATATAAGGTCAAAAAGCTAATCGCCAACACATATATTGTCTTTTGCAAGAAGAAAAAAAGAAGTATTTTGCTTGCAAAATACTTCTTTTTGCTTGCAATGCACCATTTTCATTGTTTTTGTCACTGTTGGAATGCTCCTTGAAACTTGTTTTGTTGTATAGTCTTTGTAAGTATATTCACACTTTAGATGAAAACTTTTAAGTGTTTTATAGTAATAAAAATACAAAAATCACTAATACAATATTGTTTTCAATAAGCACAGGAAGCTAAAAATGTCTTATTACAGAACTCCTGGGCATGCACAAAACACAACAGTATGACAGGAACATATGTCTCCAAAATAGTTCTGTTGATAAGTCAACTAAAGGAGTCATGAAGGATGTTCAGGTTGGCTTGTGGAAGAGTTCAACTCAGCGTAAAGGAGGAGAGGCCAGATGGGAAAAATACACAAAAAAATACATATTTTTCAAGTGAAAGGTTTCAAATACAAATGCATTAAAAATAATATTTAGACAGTATTTCAAGGAATTTAGAGGACTATTCTAGTTTCCTTAGTCCATTCTCAATATGCTACTGTCATAATGCTTTCTGGGAACATTATACAATTAAAACACTCAAGATGAAAGAATTCGTGCTTTATTTGGAACAATTCTTTTAGTTGCTTCCTCAAACTTAGCTTTATTGCTGAAAACAGTAAAGCCAAGTTTGAGGCTTAGTTAATAGGGGTTTTTCTTAGATGGAAAGAAAAGTCATATGTTGACATATAACTATTATATTCCCATGCTAACATATTGCACTGTTATTTTGTGTGTTAAAACTTGTGGTCAAGTTTCTGCAAATATATCCAACAAGTCTCTTTAGTAACTTGTTTACTAGTGTCTGCATTCTATTCAATCACTAATTCTGTAAGTGATTCTTGCCAATTTTCTTTGATAATTTTGCACAAGAAGATGAGATCAGAAGCTGCTACAGTTTTCAGTTGTCTTGGATCAATGCTATCAGTTTCTTTATACATTTTTTATTAGAAACTGTTAATTTGCCCATTTTTAGTTTTGTAGCTACTGTATATCTTCTAACAGTGGCCCCCCAGTGTTTATTTACTGAACTGGCTGACTGATCTGGTGTACATTAGAAACTGGTATCTGTTAGAGATCAGTGTTTATTAACTTATGATTATGTTCTACAAAAAATGAGGAAATTGAGTAAAGAACAGATTAAAAGAATATAGATATATCAAGAATAATTAATGGTCTCTTTCACTAATTTAAAATGGTAACCCATAATGCATATTGAAAATGAAACCAAAATTCAGTTATGGAAATGTCAGATGGGGAATTCCCAGAGTAAATGTTTATTGGAGACCAGCTTCTATTCAGAAGAGTCTTTGCTAAAACTCACTGTATATTAGAGACTGGTGGTAATTGGAGACTCTGTGTCTATTGGAAGATATATGGTATTTGATGTAAAAACTTTCCCTCTTCATAAAGTTTAAATTATTTTTATAATATTGTAGCTTACTGATTTTCCAGATGCCATTTGGTTTATTAGTTTACACTAAATGAATATTGCTATTTATGTGTAATATGTAAATTATAAGTAGATTACAAGGTCTGTTCAAAAAAGACCTGACTTTTGTCATACAAACTTTAATTATTGTAATTACAATATTGTACATGTTGTCACCTTCAAAATACTTTTTGCTTGCAATGCACCATTTTCATTGTTTTTGTCACTGTTGGAATGCTCCTTGAAACTTGTTTTGTTGCATAGCTGTCTTTGTAAATTCTGTTGAATTTTGTCTGCACTTTGAAAACAACATCCTTTCGGGGTTTTTAACTTTGGAAACAGGAAAATGTTTGCACAAGCCAAGTCTGGAGAGTATGGGGTGGTGGAAAAGGACGGCCATGTTGTTAGTGGCCAAAAATTGGCTGACAAGCAGAGATTTGTAACATGGCAGGTCATGATGCAACACCCAGCTTGTTTTCCCATAGCTCAGGCCTCTTCTGGTGCACATCTTTCCTCAAATGCCTTAAAACTTTTACATAGAACTCCTTGTTAACAGTCTGACCTTGTGGCACAAATTCATGATGACTACTTATTAATAATAAAAAAAACAATCAACATTGACTTCAAGTGTCACATCTACTGAAAAAAGCATGCATGAGTTGGTTAGACTCGTATTCTTTTTTTGATCAGGGTGACATTTGCCCAACCTATTGTGATGATTGTGTCTTGGTTTCTATATTGTAGCCATAAACTCAAGTTTTGTCTCCTGTTACGATTTTTTCATGAAAATTTTGTTGGTATTGGCTCAATGAAGCAGCTCTTGGCTGATCATGACACTGTTTTCTTTCTGGTTATTAGTCAATAGATGAGGCATGAGTTTTGTAGAGACACGATGCATGCCAAGTTTTTCAATGGCAAAATCCAACATTGTTGCTGTCTTCCTCAGAACCTCTCACACAGTCAAATGATGATTTGCACAGATCACAGAACAAGCAGCTTTGGTTTTTTTATCATTTGTTAATGCTGAAGGTTGTCCTGATCTTAAATCTTCCTCAATCTGCCCAATTTAAAACACTTAAACCACTTGCGACAATGCAAACAGCTCATACAGTCTTCATAATAGGCCTGCTGAAGCAAAGCCCACATTTCAGTAAAAGTTTTGTCAGTCTTGAAACAAAATTTCATACAAACATACTGCTCCTTAAAGTCTTTCATCTTTACTTCACAGAGCAGTGACTGCACATGCTTACTTTGACAGCTTTAGATTACCAACTGATTAGAGTAATATGATGTGCCAAGTAGCATTGTGTTACCGAAGTTTGTTATTGGATGGCACCACTTGCCAGAGCTCAATTGATGTCATGGTTCATGTTCTATGACAAAAGTCCAGTCTTTTTTTTGAGCATACCTTGTACAGTACATCCAATAAATATTTAAATAAATGGAAATGTTTCATTTTTAGTAGTGTATTTTCTATTATTGCTGAGGGTGTCCAAAGTTTATTTTGTCACCTACAATTTCTTTAAAGCAGGATACAATGTAAAGTCTACAGGTGGGCAAGCAACAAACATTTCAAGAACTTGTATGCCATCTAGTGATTTAGATTTTCTTAGCCATTTGAACAATCTGTTGCTCACCATTATTGTGAATTCTTGCTTTGTTTTCTAATTATACATTAATTAAAGGGCATTTTGCATTATTTTTTCAATAAATTAGTTTCATTGATATTGACCACAGTGCCATCTATCAACTTTTAGTGCCAATCTCTGGTTTTATTTTACTATTACTTCATATTGAAACGAAAACATGATTCTAACTGTCCAATTTGTTAATTAATGCCAATTGATAGCTTTCTCGACAAATCTACAAATAAAAGAAGAAATAAACTTGAACATATGACTGTTGGTAGTTTAAGAGTTTTATAACAGACAATGAGATTACTAAAAGGTTGGACTGACACTATCCTCACTGTTAATCTGAAACTCCACCAGTTGAAGTTGATTGGCCTTAGGAATGCTAAATTGCCTCTCTGGGACCTGGATGAAAAATTGAAAGAAGCCATTGAGAGAGAGGATTGGTGGGAAGAGCCTCATGATTACCACAGAATAGGTAGACACAAATCACATGCAAACAGCCTCAAAAACACCTTTAGGATGTTTTTGAAGCTGTTTTGATATAGGATGACAAATTTTAATTGAATAAAACGAACAATTTTGACAGGTTCCTGTTAGTTTTACTTTATTTGAGTGTTTCAGCTACAAATTATAGATTTCAAATTGGTATATATGAACATGAATAAATGGGAGTTTCAGTTGAATTAATTATAGTAAATGCTAAATATATTTGTAATTAAACAAAATGAATTTTTAAAATTCAGTAATGGTTTCTATTATTTTGTTGCTCAAAATTAAAAGCTTATCTTATAATTTATTTTAAAAATTTTTTTATGTTTTGTTTTTTAGGCTGAACAAATGATTGATGAGATAAGGGAAGCTTTTAAAAAAAATTTACCAACACTTTCCTGGATGGACCCTGAAACAAGGCAGTTAGCAAGAGAAAAAGTAAAAATATATTTTATGAAATTAAAAAAAATTTAATGTTTTATAACTTTTGTTATCATAAATTCTTTATTTTACTCAACTTTAAGTTTGAAATTTTGAATTTCAATAATAACTTATACAAAATTTAATAACTACTAGGCACTATGTTAATCATTATTAAAATTTACAATTCTAAATTTTTATTAAGAGTGGATGTTTTCCAAGAGAATTGTTAGAAAACTTTATACTTTTAATATTGTTATTATATAAGTTCATTGTTAACTGTTAGATTAGATTGGCTCAGCTGCAATTTAATTAATAATAAGAATAATTCTTATTACTATTATTAAAATATAGCTCTTCAATTGTATGTTTTATATATTTTTAATTAAACAAGTTAGATTTTGCAATAGAGGATCAATATATTTATATATAATAAAATATAGATGAAAGAAATTAAAATTTGATTTAGAATATAATCATTCAAATGAAAAATAAAACAACAAAGAATTTTCATTAAAGTTTTTAATTACTTTAATATAACATATTTTTCATTTTATCAGGCAAATGCTATTACAGATATGATTGGATTTCCTGACTTTATTCTCAACCCTGAAAAACTGGATAAGAAATATGAAGGAGTAAGTAAAATAAAATTGAATTTTAATTATCCAGTTATTAGGACTCAAACCCAAGTTCCATTAGATTGAAAATTAAAAATCAAAATAAGTAATTTACATAAAATTTTACTTTTAATGAAACTGGTAAATTTCAAAATAAAACCAAAGAATTTGACTTATTTCTAATTTTATCTTCACTTGTAATGGAACAGCAGTTCTTTTGAATTTAATATTTTGTTCTATCTTCCTTTTTACATTTTGTTAAAACTATCAAAACTGTTCATTTAGTTTATTAAAGTCTGTTCTTGCTGGTTATTTTTGGTTTTAGTGTGTTTATTTTCATATTAAAAAAAGACAGTAGTAAAAGTGTAAGTAATGCCTCCATATTTATATATGAGCTCAGTGACAAGATATAAACCAAAATATTATTTATAATTTAATTAATAAGTTTTTCAAACCCATTTCTAGAAATGTACAGAATTATTTTCAGAACCATTTCCTAGTGGCAGCTTGAATATTGTCAAAGCAGAAATGAATTTTTTTGAAATTTCTCTTGAGAATAGGAAATAATTAAAAGTCAAAGGGTGTGAAATCTGGACTGTAAGGAAAGTGGTCAAGAACTTCAAACCCGAATTTTGTATGGCTTATGATTTGAAAGTAGTTGTGTGGATCTAGCATTGTCATATTGCTGAAAAAGTATCATCCATTTCAAACACAATTAAATTTAAACTATAACATGTTCAATGTTCTACTATACATTAAAATGTAGCAAATGAAACAAAGAATCATTTGTTGTCTAACTAGTTGCTTAGCAACTAGTTAGACAAATGCATGCAACAACTTGTATTGAGGCATTACTTATTGAACAGCTCTTGTATTATTTAGACCTTCATAACATAGAAATGGAAATATTAACAATTTTTGTAATTCCAATATTTTTAAGATTTTACATATCAAACTTATATCTGGTATTCAAATAATAACTTTTTTAATATCCTGTTTAAATTATGCTGTTAAATTTAATATTCTTTGTATTTAAAATTAATTTGAATCTATTATATTTATTACAAAATATTTATTCTTATAAGAGTCTAATAATGTTTGAAAATCTTTTAAAACCTACAGGGTGGTCCATTTTAATGAATCCACTGGAATAACTAAAAAAATATGCAGCCTATCAAAAAAGAATCATTGAATTAAAATTGTCAGACATCAAGAGGGCCAAAAGATGGGGCTATGAATTTCATTATAAATATCACTACAATTAATGAAAATGAAGTCAACTTTCTTAAATGGAAACTCCATTTTTTATGCATATTATGATTCTACATTAGAAAGAAATGTTTATCTAAAACACTTTCAAAAGTGGATATCTGTGATTTCATTGAAAAAAGGAAGAAAAATGCTTTAAAAATTACTAGGACACTACTATTATTTGGTGGAATTATTCTTTTTCTCCAAATAATGAAGTGATACAAAAATTAGTGCCACAGCATGTTGAAGCCATCAAGCTTGTAGTAAAAAGATGTTTATCTTTATTCTACCATATAATAATAATTTATTAGTGATTTTTAAAACATTTTTTTCCTTTTTCAATGAAATTCACGTTTTCCACAGATTCATGCATGCACTGTGTAATTTATATACAATAATTCTTATGAATTAAAGATCCTAATCGTCATCTCAATATACTAGGAACCCTTTTCCTCAACTCTCAAGACTTTCTCTAATCTTCGATCCACAAATCGAATAACTTCAAAAGTGCCTTGGAACTATTTTATCCTATCAGACACCTCTCTTTTATTTGCTGCTACGAAGCTCACCAAGCTCATTGATAACAGAAGCTCACCTCGTCCATCTTCACTTGAGATTCGGACTTTATACTGTGAGGTGACATCACAACTCTGAATGCAATCACTCCCCTCATTTACATACTTATTTGCTAACAATAAACTTTTTCTATTTGTCTGGCAGCCTATTTTCCGACAATACTTTCTAACCTTTTACATTATTCTTCTTGACAATTTTCGGGATGTTTTTATTCTTTAAGGTTTAGTGAGTCCCTAAGTTGTGCTTGTGGGGTCTCCCCCCTTTTCTCAGTGCCTGTTCGGGCGCCAGTTGTCATGTAAAATTTCAAATACTCATATTTTCTGATAAGTTCATCTTTGAAAAAATGTTTTAGATAAAAGTTTTTGTTTTTAATGTAGAATCATAATATGCAATAAAAAGACATTTCCACTTAAGAAAATAAAGTTAATTTCATTTTCATTGATTGTCGTGTGGTGGTGTGGAGGACAAAGGAAGGATGACAAAGAAGTAACCATAAAATCAAACAGGATATTTATTCAACTACAGCTACTTAGTCCTTCGTACACCTGGTTCGTTTACACTAAACACACTTGATCCCAAACTATAGTACGTGCACAAGTTCGAATCCGTCCGACAAAATTCTATATTTTCACAAATAGAACACGTGCTCGCGACAATAAAAAGATTATGGTTTAAGATACTACGACTACTTAAATCTACCTTAATCTAGCTTATATGCTAAGGAAGAAGGGTAAAGAAATTAAGAGATATGAAGAGAAGAGATAAGTATAAAGGACAGATTTTGTGGGGGTACCCGGGTAAACTTGGGAGTCTCCGATCTTCTCTATATTGGTACTTGAATTAACTCAATTTCCTTCCTCTTGATTCCGTCTCTTGAGAATTCGGGAGCGTTTTTTCTTGAGGTCTTATGGCTGGATGTCTTTCTAATTTTCGTCCGTTCGCAGACGACTTCCAAGCCTTCTCCGTTTGTCCCACTAGGCGACAAACCTCTAGCTTGCTCTTTCCTACGTCTGCACACCTCAGACGCTGACCCAAAAGTATCCAGTTCGTTCTCTCTGATGGCCTCAGGGCTTCTTAATGTCCCTTTTGTCTTCTCCCCTTTGTCCTTGGACAAAGGTCGTCCCCCACCCACAGAAAAGGAATAGGTTAGAAAGTTCTAGAAACACGTTAAAGACAAAGGAATTTAGGAGAAAATAAAATTTATATCTACCCCTATTTACAAAAACATGGCGTACCGCCACAGTCGCACCATCTATGATGAAACCAATAGCCTCCTCTTTTCACTCTCTTGATGTCTAACAATTTTGATTCAATGATTCTTTTTCGGTAAGATACATATTTTTTGAGTTATTTCAGTGGATTGATTAAAATGAACTGTCCTGTATAGTAAAACATCATTTGTGTGGTCACTTTTGAATGTCAATATCCATTTAATTCTTTAATGATTGGATTTATCAGTAGTTACCTCTGTTCCTAGAGTGAGTTAGTTTTTGAAAAATTAACATTTACAAAAAATACACATATCTTGTATTCCAATTCATATTTTTTAATAAACTAGGTAATATTTTATTCTTCCAATTTTGTTGTGTTGAATAACAATTCAACAGGAGGCAGTAATTGTAAATGATAAGTAAAGTCATGTTTGTCTTTATGCTAGAAAATTCTATGCTGGCTCTTATGAAATTTACAAAAACCACATAAAAAATTTTCTAGGCCAGTCAATAGATGTCTCTAGCAGTCTGTAAAGTATCACATTTGTCTGTAAATATGAGCATATGGTACTACAATGAGACAAACTTCAAGAACATATATATATATATATGTGCCTTACTCTGTAGAACCCACCAGATGTATATCACATATATTTATGGGTGTACTCATTAAAGGGTTGAGTGAAGTGGACACCAATATAGAGTTTGATTTATTTTAAAACTTATGCATTTTACAGAGAAATTTTAGGGATGGCCACAGAGTGAAGTTTTACTGTATGTATATTATTTTTGTTATATATAACTATATATTTACTTTTTTGAATAGTTGGAATTTAATGAAGATGAATACTTTGATAACAATCTTCGAGTAAGTAGATTTTCCTTACTACAAAGCATGAAAAAGTTAAGAAAACCAACTAATAAAACAGAATGGGAAATGTCTCCTCCAACTGTAAATGCCTATTATACTCCTACAAAAAATCAAATTGGTAAATTTACACATTATTTTATTTTAAAGTAATTTTTAATATTTTTAACTAAATGACTGATTAATCTGAACTCTAAGCTGTTTAAACCATTTCTATTTACATCTTAATCTATAACACATGTTTGATTATATTTATATATAAAATAACACTGTCATTGGGCTGCAATTTGAAAAAATTGTAGACCTATAAATTCCCACTGTTGTTTGTCTGTCTGTTCTTCCTTAATCTCAAGAATGGAAGTAGATAGATGAAATTTGAGACCAGATATGGAAAACTTAGGGGCAGGAGGCCCAGATTATCTATATATGAACATCCAGTGCAAATCAGAAGTCACATTATTTCAGTTAAAAAATTTTCTTCAGAATGGAGTTAGATAGATGATTAGCATGAATTTATTGATAACAGGAAAAGTATGATGTACAAGGGCAAGATACTACTAAAAACTTGATAATATTGTGATGATGCCACAATACATAATTGCTCATTCAAATATAAACAATGATGAAGTTTGATTTATTAAATGTATCTTTTAATATTTCTCTAATAGATGGCATTATGTTACTAAAGTTATTCTGAGGTTTTTGTAGGAAAATGCAGTTTATTTTCAGAATCTGATGGCATCTATATAAATTGTTAATGGTGGTTTACTTTCAAACAAATAATCAAAATTATTTTATTTATAAATACAGTAGAGCAGTGTTTTTCAACCTTCTTGAATACGCGACCCCTTTACAAGTTAAAAAATTCTGGCGACCCCCCTAGGGCCATATTAAAACTATATCAGTGATTTTAAAAACTATGTATTTAATTTTCTCTCTGTTGAGACAAATTATTGTTGATTAAAGTGAAAATTTCAGAAGAATTGACGATAACTTAACACACATAAAGTATGAAACTTCCTTTAATTATAACATTCGGCACAGGAAGATGTTGACCTTTTATTTTTTTGTTTAGGATCAGAATTTTCAGCTTCTACGTTTCTACTTTTATTTCTTTTTGCAGATCAGCTCAACACTTTCCGCTATCATTTTCTGGGGTGAGCCGCAATTCTCGCTGAAATTGTAGATTTTTAATGTAGTGTATGACCTACAAACATTTGTCTTTTTCTTCTACGCGCGATCCCCAAGGGGGTCGTGACCCACAGGTTGAAAAACACTGCAGTAGAGCATCGTTTATCCGAAAGCATTCCAGTCGGCAAATTTTAATTTTTGCTAATTGTGTGGCGCTGCAATCTTTGGCTATATCTTGGGCTACTCCAATATTTTTTTATGTTTGTGTGTGGTGTTTTTCTGAGGACTGTGTGTCATGCTGAATCAAACGTTTTTGATACTAGATAACTTCTAAAGTATAATCTTTTTTGTTTTTATATTTTTAAATATATTTATTTTGTTTGTAAAAAATAAAGAAATAATTTTTAATGATACAATAGCCATTTCCACTTAAGAAAATAAAGTTAATTTCATTTTCATTGATTGTCGTGTGGTNATTAGGCTTAACATCGACAAAAATTCAACGCGAAGTGACACGCAACGGAGAAAAATTTCAACATGGGAGAGGTTAATGTATTTTTTGCACATAATTGGTTATCTGAAAAATAAGTTATCCGAACAACCCCAGTCCCCAATTGATTCGGATAAACGACGCTCTACTGTATTATTAATAATCATTAAATAAATAAAATTGTTTTATTTTTAGAAAAAAAAAAAACAAAGTAACAGCTTATGTTTATTACATTGTAGCTGACTGAAAACAGCTATATGGTTGAAATTCATTTTGGCTTAGCAATAGTATAAATATATCAATAAATCAGTTACCAGTGTGATTAGTCTGTTTTTATTGATTGGTCTGACAGCAGAAGTAGTGTAGCATAATTAGAATACAGACTAAAAGCAAAGTATTAAAATTACTAAGTAATTTGGACTGAATAAAATTGAATTGGAATAAAAGATCAACTTTGAGCGAGTCTTGAATTTGCAACTTAAAGTTACCCTGTCATAGATATGTTGCCTGTTATGCTAAGTGGATTGCTGTTTGATCTTTGCTTCCAGAGCTGTATTAATTCAGATTATTCTGTGACTTTATGCCTATAACTTTTATTATTATAGAATAAAACAAAATTTTAATATCTTCACCATTTCCTGCATTCTTTCCTTTTTCCTCTACTTCATCTTTCGGTGCCTGCCTTTCTGGTAACTACTCAAGAGGATATCCATCTCTTCCCCTTTCAGTGAACTACTGGATTGTCCTCTGATTGTTCCAGTTTTTGGACCAATAACTGTGGGATGGAAAACTATGAAGTGAAGAAATTCTATCTCTAGTACCAAATTACTTAGTATTTAATTATAGTATAGTATACTTAGTATTTAATTAGTAGTAGTAATAATTGATATAATCTGGCAATTGTTTGGCTTTAATATATACCTATTAAGTTTAAAAATTAAAAATATGACACTTCCGTGTTGCGGCGTTATTGACAGCAGTTTGTTAAATTTCAGACATGCTTGCTAGTACTTTCAACAGTTTACAACCGTTGTCTTCAGGCAAAATCGAATACCTTTGTTTTCGAATTGACAGCTTTTAACGGACTTTCCAAATTACGTAATGCGCATGGTTGGAATATAGAACAAATTAATAAAATTGAATAAATAAATATTTTCTTTAAAGAAACCTGCTGTAATAACTTGAATTCCCCAAAACATATAAATATTGATTGATGGTGCTGTGCATAGTAATAGAATAAAAGTAGAACACAAAATTATAACTTGGATTGTTTAAATAGACAGCACTGGCAAAACATATCTCTGCTTTAGTACCTCCCTCCAACTTAGTAACCAATACTGTTTTAAATGCTAAAGCTAACATTGTAGCTACACTAGGTAAACTTCCCACTAACTCGTACCGGTTGTACAAAATAGACATTATTTCATTATATCCATCAGTACCACATTTTGAAGCTGTCATGCTTGCTAATGCACTTCTACTGAGTTCTGGACACCCCAAATCACATGTATTACACTTGCGTGATGCTCTTTTATTTATCACAGAAAACAACTATTTTCAATTCAATGGCAAAATATACAAACAAACCCAAGGGTGTACCAATGGGCTCCCCCTTATCACCTATTTTAGCAGAACTCATTATGAGAAATATAGAAAATTGTATTTTCCATGCACCTTTAACAATCCACTATCCTATCATGTATCTACGATACGTTGATGATATTTTGATTGCATGGGATAGCTCTGCAGAGGATTTAGACAAATTTATTCAAATGCTAGCTTCAATATATCCTACTATAAATTTCACTGTAGAAGAGGAGCAAGAAAACACAATTTCCTTTTTAGATTTAGAAGTGCATAGATATCCAGAGCTAACTTTTGCGGTGCACCACAAAAACAACAGAGGGCCAGATATTATCCCTGTAACTGCTTTCCAACCCCCGAGCTTTGTTAACTCCACTATTACTTCACTTATTCAGAGAGCACTCCTCATTCCATCTTCCCAGACATTAATTGATGAAGAATTACAAATTATCAAAAGAGCAATGCACAATGCCGGATATTCTAACACCAAATATCGATATCTCTACAACCGGGTCAAAAACTAATTATTTCCAAAATCTTTCGTCTGCAACAAAGAAAGCCTAAAGATAATAAACCTTCCAATACCGTACCTGGGCACCATCTCACTAAAAATAATACGCATATTCAGGAAACATGGTTTCATATTACCTATAACCCCTCAACCGTCACTATGAAGAACATTGTGCAACGATAGGGACATTCTCACGTTGAATGAAAAATCGGGGGTTTACAAAATTCTATTAAAACATACAGTATCAGGGGAGGAAATTATCTATATTGGAGCTACCACCAGAATGATACGGTCCCGCATCCTCGAACATCAAGAAGACATTAGAAATAATAGACCAGCTACAGAATTAGCGAAAAAGGTGCTAGAACAAGATTATCTTCCACTTTGGAACCATGTTAAATTACTTAAGCATTGCAATGATTGTAGGCAAATATTCATATGGGAAAATCTTTATATATCTGCTACTTTGCCATGTAATGCGCCGACATTGGAAATACCACAGCTATGGATAACTTTATTTAAACAATCCAAGTTATAATTTTGTGTTCTACTTTTATTCCATTACTATGCACAGCACCATCAATCAATATTTATATGTTTTGGGGAATTCAAGTTATTACAGCAGGTTTCTTTAAAGAAAATATTTATTTATTCAATTTTATTAATTTGTTCTATATTCCAACCATGCGCATTACGTAATTTGGAAAGTCCGTTAAAAGCTGTCAATTCGAAAACAAAGGTATTCGATTTTGCCTGAAGACAACGGTTGTAAACTGTTGAAAGTACTAGCAAGCACGTCTGAAATTTAACAAACCGCTGTCAATAACGCCGCAACACAGAAGTGTCATATTTTTAATTTCTAAACACTGGCATGAAGTGAACTATATTTTCACCTATTAAGTTTTTGATGTTGATATTTGTGAATAAATTTTTCCCACTTGTTTGGACCCTGAGTTTTAGTGAGAATATGAAGAACCCCAAGACATTTTTTTGTAATTTTGTAGTCAAATTACCTCTTGAACTTTAGAGATATATGGTGATATGGGATACAAGTTTGAACACTTCATAAGAGATATTGAAGAATTTTTTTTTTGGTTTTATATACAACAGTTATGAATAGGAATAAGACTTGTTAGTGTGACAATAAGAGGAAAGAAAAAAAGCAAAAAACCACATAGACTCTATACAACCATGATCATTTAACTATAGTGGTCTTCAGTTGGCACAGGATCTCAGTAGATTATTTTCCTTTGTTTCTCTTTCTCTATTCCTTCTATCCATTAACACTTTCAATTCTGTCTCTGGTTGTAAGTTTAGATAAGGAAATTTAGGAAATAATTTGTAATAGTTTATTCAGGATCCTCTTTCCTTGAATATTGTATGATTTGGAATTTCATATCTGCTGTGGCATGACCAAACTTTTTTGATGCAAAACTAAAATTTTGTGATAATATCAATTAGTATAGATAAGTATGTTCAATCAGAGTGATTATACTAAAATGGAATGCCTGGTGAAAACTGCCCACTTGTCAGTTGATGGCTTAGTTACGTTTAATATCCTGAAGGGTCGGGATTCTGTTTGTCAGGTCGCGTGGAGGAGGAGAGAGAGGGGTCGTCGGTAAGGCGTAGGCGATATGCAAGTAAATTACACCATTTAACAATGGAAACAACGGTTTATTAGATTAATCAAAGATTAACAATTACAAACTCTAACATTGAGAACCTTTAACTTGGTACGCTAGCTCCTAATACCCAGAGAGAGAGAGTTCACATTGTTTCATACCTTTAGGATAATTCCACAGAGAAAAAAATATTGTTCCTTTTTCCTTTGTAGATTGATGCACAAAGTTATAACAGTCCAAATATCCTTTGAGACCTGAATCACTTTTGACCAGCCGTAGATGAGAGACTCCCCCTGAAGTGGGGGAAGAATGGGCTTTTATAGCTTCTCTGTGGAAAAATTCATCAGGTGATCAACTGTTGTGGGAGATAAATGTCATTGGAATAGGTATGGAGGTTAAAGTTGTTCCTGGGACCACAACAAAATGACAAATTCGGACTTTAATTGTAAACTAAGTCTTACAGTAAATGCCATTGTTTAGGTGTGTAAATGTTTACATTTAAGAGGAGAGTTATAAGTTTCTATCGTTGTTGATGAAATATTCGATTCCATTTTTCTGACAATGGTATTTTCACGGTAAGGTGATAAATTTGTTTAAACTATGTCAAAAAGTTAGGAGGAAAGTGGAAAATTGGTTTGCACATGGGTAGGATCTCACAAAAATAAATCAAAATTTCAGTGGTTGGTATCGTTGTACCTACCAATGATCTATGATTCATTCCTTATAATAAATTCTTTTGTTACTGTAAATGCGCTCTAATAGTGTTATTCTGTTGGGATATTTGATTTATAATTTATCACAGTCTCGCAATACAATTATATAGATTAATTGCTAGTTCTAATAATAGCACAAGTTGAAAGTCAAATTGCTTACCTTTAGGGCAAAATGCTTAGTAATTATTACCTGAATTATATCCTGAGAGCCCAACATTAAGATTTGGCTATTAACATTGTCATTCATAAATTAATATTGTCTTCAAATTACAGTAATGTACTGTATTCAATTATAGGTATTTATGATTTAAATAAAACTTCAATTTTTATGTTTTGCTATGTACAGTATGCCATAGTTTATGGTTACTTTTTCTTTCTTTCTCTGTACTTTTTGTTTTTAGTTTCCTTCTACCATTTTAGAGCTGTCTTTTTTCTATACTGAATGGGGAGGTCTATGTCAATGTTGTGAATGCCGCCATCCTTTTGTTTATGAGAAACAGTTTGATTTGTGGACAATATATATAGGAGTGAAGGAACCTCAAAAAGGAACCTTTTGACTAACCTTTGGACAGAAAAGGAAAGGAGGTGACAATTTTAGGAAGTGTATTGATAAGGTGAGGACTATTTGGCAAGTGATCTTTGCAACCAAAGAAGCTGAGATGGTTAAACACAGAGTAAGACATTTTGTATTTTGAAAGTTCTTTCATGAGAAGATGACATCCTCATTTCAGTCAAGATTGAAGAAATCATTCTGAAATAAGGACACCTGTTTTTAATGGACTTGAGCAAACAAAGTATTGGGATACCCTTTGTTCTCTCTCAACTATTCTTCTATCCAAAATAACTATTTAAAACAATGGAGTCAGATTAATTATTCAATTCTTACTTAATTGTATTGTAGAAAAATACATGAAAAATCAGTTTTTCTTTCCTTTCTGACTTACAGAGGGTATATAACTTCAAAATTCTAAAACATTACATCAATAATGAAATAAAAATTAAAGTTTAAAAAAGATAAAAGCAAACCAACTTTGCAGAGAATTTAGGGGATTTATCAATGTAATAAAAGTGTTTTTTTTTTCTGCAAAGTTGGTTTGCTTTTAATTTTTATTTCATTATTGATGTAATGTTTCAGAATTTTGAAGTTATATACCGTTCATAAGTCAGAAAGGAAAGAAAAACTGATTTTTTGTGTATCTTTCTACAATACAATTAAGTAGGAATTGGTTATTCTTCTATCATTGACTTTTGCCTTCTATTTAAATTGTTTCTTATATTAACACTAAGATTATTATTGATAGTTAGTTTTAATTATTTAGTTTATTGTTTCATTCTCACAATAGATTAAGCCTTTGGTGTTAATTGGAATCCTTTGTATGCGTTTTTGTTTTTAGTTAAATATTTTTGTATCGTGCAAAGTGTTTGTTAGGAGCATACTTCTCATCTGATATCATAGGTTGTGTTGTTGAAATTTGTAAGAATTCTAGTGTCAATTTGAAGAAAATTATATTTGTAAATATTTTATTTATTGTTTTCATTTAAAAACCATACATCTCACAGCTATAATGTGTATTATAGCACAGTTTTATAGTATAATCCTATCTATTGTTATTCATGTTCTCACTGATGTGAATAATTGATACTTTGAATGCTTAGTTATTATTTTTGATTAATCAAATCACATATTAACTTAAATGATTTTTATAATAAAATTAAATTTATAATATAATAAAGTATTTCAATTATTTTTTTGTTAAAAATATTATATCTTGCTTTTAACAATATATCTATTTATCTGTTTCAGTATTTCCTGCTGGCATTCTTCAAGCTCCATTTTATGATGTAAATTATCCAAAGTAATTACAGTTTTAAACATTTAAAATTCTTCTATATTAAATCTATATTGAAATAAATATTATACTTTATTTTACTTTCCTTTTCATCTTCATAAATCTCTTGCAGATCATTAAATTTTGGTGCAATGGGTGTGGTGATGGGACATGAATTAATTCATGCTTTTGATGATCAAGGTATATCTGGTGTCTATTCTTTACTAACATTTCTCATAATCTCCATAAAACTTCATTTTTTCCATAAAACTTTCTTAATCTGTATCATAATTGATCATTATATTTACATAATCATATAATACATATAGATAATCATATTTGATATTACATGACAGTTTAAAGCAGGGATTTCAGATCTGTTTTGCTTGTCAGCCTTTTTCAAAATTAAATTTAATCCATTACTGCTTTCTATTTTGATACAAAAGATGAATAAATTACAAATATGATAAAATAAAAGACTAAAATAGGAATTAGTAATAAAAAATAAATTTAATCTATTGACTTCCAAATGATCTTTAGTAATTTATTGACCCCTAGATAATCAGTTGACCTCTTGAGGTTGCTAATAATCAGGTTGGAAACTCCTGTTTTATAGTTTTATTAACAAGATTACTTAACATTACTAACGGTAAGTAATCTTGTTACTCTTAAATCTTAAGTAATCTCTAACATTATTCTAATTAATTTCTTTATATTTTTTATTTGATTTCAACTGTGTACTGCCAATTTTACTTTCCTGGCTGTTATAGAATGAAACAACAAAACCATGATAAATCAGTCAAATTTTGACCTCCCCTGGTTCTTTTGCATTTCTCAATGTTTTGGCACTCAAGGAACCCAAAAAATGTAAAAAAAAAAAAACCTTACAAAATTACAAGTGTGTGTCAGCTTCTAATTTGCATTATATCTCAGGACTTGATGAACTGAAAATTTTGAAAGTTGGTTGGATTATTTCTATATATAGGGCACTTATGCTATTATATTTTGGTAGTTAAAGATCAAGGGGTGGAGAAATAGAGGGGATTATGTATCATATCTTGTGTGAGGTCAGACTTAATGAAAATTTTACCCATTATTGACATTTAAAAATTTTTTAAACTTATCTTTATCCTGAAAATTAAGCTGCTTGCCTTTTTATAATAATTAGTAATATAAAAATTATTTTTTAATGAATTCTCATAACAGATGTTAAACACACAATTTAACTTTTTACTAATGTGTTATGATTTTTAAACTTAAATATTATTTTAAATAGAGACGTTTCTCATTCAAAAAAATACTTGCCTTAAGCTTTTGTTTTTATTTAAATTTTTATTATAAGCACACAGGAGATTGAGGGGACTAGGAAGGAAGTCTGAAATTATCTGTCTTTTTTCCTAGTCCCCTTAATCTCCTGTTTGTGTCAGGAAAATTGAGCAAAAGCCCTTTTTAGCTTTTTCTAACTATTTTAATAATTATCTGAATGCATCTCCATTTTTTAACTAATGGTGATTTTGGAATTAGTTTTCCATAAATAATTCAACTTTCTTATATTTATATAATTCAGATCATTGAACTGACTTAT